AAAAAGATAGGAAGAATTTCCAGACAATATAAAAATCTCTGAGCTAAGCTGGGTGCCAGTGCTCACGCCTGTAATCCTAGCTCCTCAGGAGGCTGAGATATCCTGATCAAGGTTCAAAGCCATCCTGGACAGGAAAGTCTGTGAGATTATCTCCAATCAACCACCAGAAAACTGGCTGGAAGTGGTGCTCTGGCTCAAAGTGATAGAATGCTAAACTTGAGTGAAAGAACTCAGGGGCAGTGCCCAGGTCTTGAGGTCAAGCCCTGCATGACCAACAAAAAAAAAAAATCTCTGAGCTGGCAACTTCATATGGTAAGTCTTACTACATTTGTTCTTACTGTACTGGGGTCCATTATTAATTTGAGTTACAGTTAATAACATTTGATTCATGTTAGACATCATTCTAGTGGTAAGTATCAAAACCATGGCCTTATACATGCTAGACACTACCAACTGAACTACACTACCAGCTTGAATACACATCAAAACATTACAGTAGCTATCTCTGCAGTGTATTATGACTAATACACGTTTCTTTCTTTATGTTTATCTATGTTTTTCTTCAATGAATATACATGATACTGAGTTATTATTAGAAGAAAATATCTTCAACTCCTCTGATGTCTATGAGGAGGAAGTCTATCAAATATCATTGGTCTCTCTACCTTCAATGTCTTTATCTCAGGAATGATTCATCCTAGTAGTGGTAAACCTGGGAAGTATAAATATAGTGAATTCAGCCTCATCCTATGGTTTCTAAAAGACTCCCAAGTTCTCAGTTCTTTCCACACCATTCTGGCTGCTGACACCTGGACAAGTGTGGGCGGCGGCGAGTCTTAATTCTGGAATTCAGGTAGCAAATCCATTTGGCTCAAACACTGAAGAATGTCCTCCAGTTTAGCCTTACTAATAAATGTTATATGAAGGCCAAGTTATAGGAAGTTCTACAATTTATACACACATCCTTATGTTCATTTTTTTTCTCTCACTCCCGTCTCCCCAGCCAGGTTCATTTTTTTATGTGAGAACACTGGGATTTGAGTTCAGTGCCTTATACTTTATTCAGCCTGCTTGCTCGGTTGGTGATCTACCAATTGAGCCATATCTCTAGCCCTGCTTTTTGCTAGTTATTTTGAAGAGTCTTGAGGACTTTTCTGCCAGGACTGGTCTTGAATGGTGGTCCTCTAGATCCTAGCCTCCTGAATAGATAGGACTGCCCCTTAGTAAATTTTACAGATACCTTAGTTCTATTGCTTATTATTAATTTAATCATTATTGTTAATTAATTTAATCATTAATTTAATCATTACTCATTCTTTTCTTCCTTCTCTTTCTCCCTTCTTTCCTTTTTTTTTGATTTTGTGCTGGTACTAGGGCCTCATGTTTGTTACGACGTGAGACAGACCTTCAGCCAAGATTTTTGCTAGTTAATTAGAGATAGAGTCTCAAGGACCTTTATGCCTAGGCTAGCTTTGAATTTTAATCCTCTACATTTTAGCCCCCTGAGTAGCTAGGATTATATGAGCCATGGATGCCTGGCTAAGTTTTGTTACTTCTATATATTTTGTTTTCCTGTTGGTAGGACAATCAACCTACTCCATCAACACATAGAAACTCTGTTGTGCTAGGCGTTCCCAATTTCATAATGGGCATCCAAGTTTCATATTTTTTATATATTACAAATGGTGGCTGGGTGCCAGGTGGCTCACGCCTGTAATCCTTGCTACCCAGAAGGCTGAGATCTGAGGATGGTGGGTCAAAGCCAGCCCAGGCAGGAAAGTCCACGAGGCTCTCTCTTATCTCCCATAAACTACCAGAAAACCGGAAGTAGCGCTGTGGCTCAAGTGGTAGAGTGCTGACCTTGAGCCGAAGAGCTCAGGACAGCGCCCAGGCCCAGAGTTCAAGCCCCATGACAGACAAAAAAAAAAAAAAGTGAACTCTAAACATTTCCAATAGCTTATGCTTTGTCATCTTTTTTTCCCCCAAGATAATCTATAACTGGGAACACTTGGCTTCCTGAATTTTCAGGTTCACCCATTTTTGTGCACTACTGGCCTCTTTGCTGACTTACACTGCCACTGTTTTGGTTTTTTTTTTTCCTTTCTTAATTTCAGTACATCTCCATTATATAATCATTAGCCTTTTCGCCTCTTTGAACACCATCTCATTTTGCTTCTATTTGCTTCAAGTTGTCAAGCAATGAGGCCTGTGTGGGTGGATTCCTGTTTCCCACAAGTTCTTCCCATCTAATGTTGTGACACTCATTAATTATACTCAAGTTCCTCAAGTTCCTCTCTCTGGTTCTCACACTATTTCTGAAGCAGGCTTTCCTGGGATTTGTTGTCCATCTAGTTTGTGATAGCTATCTCTACTATGACTTGTTCTGCTAGCTTTTCAGATAACTCTTTTTAAGATTTGTTTACTCAAAAGGAATTTTTGGAATAAATAATCTAACAAGGCCATGTGGCCTTTGTTAATTTTCTTTCCAGAAGAAGGGAATAGGAAGGAGAGAGAGTTCTGTGGTCCACTAGGCATTACCAGGACAGTGGCAGATAGACAATGTACACAGCAATATACACTGGTGGAAGACAGTCTGTAACAGCCTCAATACCTGTTGAGGTCTTTGTAGAGCAATCTTGACCCATTTGAATCCTCACTCTTAATCAGGAGGTATAACAATTGTACACATTTAAAGTGTCTTTGTTAAATTTAGTCTTATGTTAACCAAAGACATTTAGAAACAAGAAATCATTTTAAGCTGCCATAATGAACTCAACCTATTCTATTAAATAAAGCTACAAAAACCATCTGCCTTATTAATGAGTATCATGGATTTTAAAAAATGAAAACTCAACTATTGCTCATTAAAGAGGAATAGCATTTTTAAAAAACATAAAATTTATATTCCATAAATTTACCCTTTCAAAGTATTCAGTGGCTTTAGGTACTTCATAGGAGTGTGTAATCCTTTTAAAAAGAACCCCAGGCCCATTGGCAGTCACTCCTCATCCCCTCTTCCTCATTATCTACCTTCTTTTTCTTTTTCATCAGTCATGGGGCTTGAACTCAAGGCCTGGGTGCTGTCCTGAGCTCCTCCGCTCAAGGCTAGCACTTGAGCCCAGCTACCTACTTTCCTTCTGTGTGGATTTGTCTATTCTGGACACTTCATATAAATGGAATTATGCACTGTGTGACTTGTGTCTGCTTTCTTTCACATTAACTCTTAGAATTACTTAAGTTTCAATTCAAGAAACATTATTTACACACTGATTTCTTGGCCCAGAACACTGATTAGCAACATTTTACTTAAGTCCACTTATAAATCATATCACAGCTGGGCATGCTGGTATGCATCTGGAGCCCCAGATACTCAAGACTGAAGGAAGAACGTTCCTTAAATCCAGGAACTTGAGACCAGACTGGACAACATAGGAAGATGCAATTTAAATAAGTAAAACAAATATTATACACTATAATCTTCATTTTATTGTGCATGAGTGTTTTGGTGAATAGTTCTTGGCCTTTTTACCTAGTGCCTTTTCCCCCTTCTGTATTGTTAGTGTGATTCTGTTGCTGTCTACAGGTGATTGGTCCAGGAATTTAAACCTAATTCAAGCTAGCCTACTTAGGCCTTCACTTCGAATGCAGAACTGGGAACAAGATTCTGTTTTTGACTAGCCACTCTTAATAGAAAGAACTACAATCTCATTCATTATCTGCCACAGGCTCAGGCTGTAGAATTGCCTTTTCACATAAATGTCATGATGGACTTGTCCTGGAAGTTAAGCGAAATGAAATTGATGATGTAACAGATCTTCCCTACAACCTAAAAGCTTTCCATGACAATGAATTATAGTGGCTATTGATTTTATAGACTCCAAAATATCCCAATTTTGGAAATAGGGATAACACAATCTATAGTTCCTTGGCCAGAAGGACTAATCAAGTGCCTTACATCAATGGCAAGAGTGGTGAAATAAGTATAAATAGGGCCAACCATGAACATTCCCTACAACTGTGACACAGACCCTAAGAAAAACCACCTTCTCTGCTTTCCACCATATGAATGCCAACTGCAGTAGAGGAGCCTAAGAGCAACACTCAAAGAGAAATGGAAACTAGCAGACATGGAACAGAAACACAGGAGATAGCAATCCTCAGTTGGTTATCAATCCTCAGTTGGTTCCTTTTATCTTGTATGGAAACAAATCTCAATGTAGAAAACATTCCTTTTTTTTCTCACAATAATTTGAAACCTAACTTATTCTAGGAAGCAGATCAGAATAAGTACGTTTTTTATTATTATTTTATTTTTATTTCTTGCCAGTCTTGGGGCTTCAACTCAGGGCCTGGGCTCTGTCTCTGAGCTTCTTTTGCTCAAGGCTAGCACTCTACCACTTGAGCCACAGCACCACTTCTGGCTTTTTTCTGTTTATGTGGTACTAAGGAATTGAATCCAGGGCTTCATGCATGCTAGGGAAGCACTCTACCACTAAGCCAGGCTAAGTACATTTATAACCACCAATTTCACTGTTTCTATTAAAGAGACCCTGGAAATCTCTGAGTTTTCTGACATTAACGTTGCCCTTTACAACTTCTGTTGTTTTTTTAATTTGGAGACCTTTAGATAGGTTCTACAGGCTTTACTATTACTTCTCATACGCTATGCCCACCAACTACTCTGTTACCATTACATAAACCTTCAAAGTATGTTTGTCAACGTTTCCCTAGGGTGTTACTAGAATGTATAAAAATCTTAATAAGCCTATATCATTTGGTTTCCTAGGAAAGCGGAATATAAAATACATCCCAAGTATACAAGTTAAATGGGATTTTTATCTTATCTTAAAAGGTAAGTTATCAAAAAGATAACTGGAATATCAATACAATGTTCTAAAAGACAAAATGTGAAAACTTAAAAGTAAATGCAACATATATTGCTACTCTCATATAATTTCTACTTTATGACACTTGAAGTAAGTAACAAATCTCAAACCTACCTCCAGTAAGGCTCCAGTTTGAAAGAATTTCAAAGGTTTCTCAATTGAATAATAAAGGCTATGATAGCTCCCCTTAGCCAGGTATGCTCTGACCAGACCAACGGCTATAACCAGCCACCTAGTGAAAGAGAAAAGAGTAATCAGGAGGGGGAGAAAAAGTAGGTAGAATTTAAGGTAATAAAAAGATGTGGCATGGTTTGGGAATGTGGCTTAGTGGTAGAGTGCTTGCCTAGCATGCATAAGCCCTGGGTTTGATTCCTCAGTACCACATGAACAGAAAAAGCTGGAAGTGACGCTGTGGCTCAAGTGGTAGAGTACTAGCCTTGAACAAAAGAAGCTCAGAGACAGTGTCCAGGCCCTGAGGTCAAGTCCCAGGACTGGCAAAAAAAAATAAAATGAAAAATAAAATAAAGACGTGGCAGACCTAGTTTTTTAGCAGCTCTGCTTCTTCCTAAAGAGCCAATGATCTTAGATTATGGTTTAGATCTTAAATGTTCCAAACATCCACATGTTAAAGGCTTGGTCCCCAGGGTGGCACTATTGGAAGATAATGGAACCTTTAATAGGTAGGACCTAGTAGGAAGTTGTTTACGTCACTGGGAATGTGGCCTGAAAGGTGACTGTAGGTCTCTCGTGCTTCCTTTTTTCTCATTTGCTCCCTAGCCTCAAGGTGAGTAGATTTACTCTGCTATCCACTCCGGCTATGATGTGTGTTACCTTGCCAAAAGCCCAAAGCAATGATACCAATTTGCTCCTGGAGTACAACGTCTAAATCTGTGATCCAAAACAAACCTTTCCTTTTTATAAGGTGATTGCCTCAGGTATTATAGTACTATACAGATGACTAACACATGGACTATGTGCTATAAAGAAAAGAAATGCTATACCAACAGCATCCTACTGAAAGTACTTGGCAGAAGTGTCATGATACCTCCCCATCTGGAACTTGCCTTTTTGGCTATCTTGTGTGGTCAGAATAAGGCTAAAATAAAAGGAACAAGCTAAAATAGTCCTTTTGCAGAGAAATCAGGTGCCAGAAAATCTGAGGCAGAGGGGAAAAAATGTGTTTAAGAAAAAATTTAAATGGCTTGTGTAGTTATAGGGCCTTTGAAAACAATAGAGATGTTTTTACAAGTATCTCACTGGCATGTACTCATAACTTGAAACCTATCCTTCCAAAATTAAAAATTTAATAAGAATAGAAGGGTTTTTTTTTGTTGTTGTTTTTTGGTGGGTGGGGATGGGAGGGAAAAACTTGGAGACAGCAAGGGAAGAGGTGGCAAAAAAATTTTTTTAAAGGGTTGGCTTTTTAAAGAATAGTGTTTGAGCTGAATTTTCCCAAACCTACTCAGAAAAGACAAATCAATAGGCCTGTTGATTAGAAAAATGACAAAACAACAAGTACTCAGGGAAAACAGCTGTGAAAATTACATTTCGGCTCCAAGTTACTTTTCAAAAATTTAGCCTTGATAATTTTGTTAAATTCCGTATCAGAACAAATCGGTGTTTATTATGGCATGTCTCCTGAAAGAGAATTACAGATTTACCTAACTGTATGATATCAATTGGGCAATGATATATGCAATCTCAATTACTGGTAAAAGCATAAAGGCTGGGTGTCAGTGGCTCATACCTATAATCCTAGCTACTCAGGAGGCTGAGATCTAAGGATTACAATTAAAAGACAGCCTGGAAAGGAAAGTCTGTGTGACTTTTATCTCTAATTTACTATAAAAAACAAAACAAAACTGGAAGTGGCACTGTGACTCAAAGTGGTAGAGCACTAGTGTTGAGGACAAAAGCTCAGGGAGAGCACCCAGGCCTTGAGTTCAAGTCCCAGGACTGGCATAACAAAATAAAGCAAAACTAGCAGAAGGAACATCAAATAAAGGTTTGCAAAAGACAGGTGTTCTTTCTGCTAATAATTTATTAGCAGTAAATAAAAGTGTTACTTGACACTCTCAATTTCAAATCCTCGGTCTGGTTTACAAAGCCACTCTATTCTCCACCTATGTTCATTTCCAAGGAATAAAAACCTTTCTCCTTGCCCAATGTATGTTAAAATCCCTCTCTTATGAGTGCCCCTGCTAAGAAAAAAGTTTTATCTAAAATTTCTTTTTTTAAAAAATTTGATCAACAGGTGGATCTGATGCAACAATGAGAAGTACAAGTTGTCATGTCCAAAACAAGCT